AGCTGAAACCTGTTATTATATGTCCAATCTATATGTATAGCAGGTTGAAAGTGAAGTTTAAAAAATATTCTTTTATGTTTCCTTCATAAATTACACGAATATTGGAATGCGACGTTTGTAAGAATTTAAATTTACGAAAATTCTGATGAGTTAAATATATACATGTATACAACAAAAAATTATCTGAGGACACTCTTTGTTTTCTATGAATTTACTTTCAAATTGGTCCGCAGCTATTAATGTACCGATTGCAAAACATTTTACAGGCTTGTATATAAAATATTTAAATTATGCAAATATACATTAAATGAATCAACATTCATTTAAAATAAAAAAGAAAAGTACATGAAAATATATTTTTATTTTAAACATTTCCTCAAAGTTTATTTATGTACAAATGCAGCTCAGAAATGTATATAAAACAAAGAAAAATATAAGAAAAAATATAATGTACCTTAAATCAATAAAAAATAGGATCTTATAAATGTGTGTGAAAAATATACAGTCAGGTATGTTCACACAACAAGCGATTAACAATATTGTGTCTGTGTGTAAATGTATGTATAAAATAACTTAAAGATCAAAGAGTCTGTGTGCAATTTGTTAATTAACATTAAATATCTTGACATTCCAATTACACTATAATAATAAATAATGAAAAGCTATTTTAATTTTATTTTAAACGATATTTTATTCACTGATGTAAATGTGAATGGTTTTGAGCAGCAGGCTTAGCCTATTTCAGCCCTCTCCCTAAGCTATTTTAATTGTTGGATCCATAAAGTATGGACCTTCCTTAAAATCAACTTCAGAGACCTTGTATAAAGAATCAGATTCATTTTTTTAGTTAATTTATGTCAATGAAGAATTACAAGACACAAGGTACTTTGAATTTTTATTGAACTATGGAAAAAAATGTTGCATGTTATTTCTTACATTTAAGATTCATATGATTTTCTAAAGTGTAAAAGATCTTTAGGTTTTTTATAATCCACGATTTATTTGGATAATATCTAGAATATACAGCAGCACAGTGCGTCCAAAGTTTTTCCTAAATATTATGTGTAACTATAGAAAATTGTTAGAACAATAGTTGGAGCCGGTAATATATCTTTGTTTATGTGGTTTTCAAGAAATGAAGAGATCAAATATAGCTAGGGTGGTGTATTAAAGGGTTAGCATTCTCAAAGTAGGATTAAAACCAAGTTTTTCTAAAAAAAAACAAACAAAACAAAAAACAGACAAACAAATAAAATAATGGATCAAACAAACAGACTTTATTGTTACAAGCTTTGTTTGCTGGGACCATAGTACATTCTGAATGTAATCTTTATCTGTCACCTTCGATTTAGGGAAATCAGAAGGATTGTGATTTGCATTCAACATACTATCATTTTTCTTCAATATCTCTATGATAATGATTAATCGATTCTGACAGTGTTTGGGTCTTCCCCTTTATAATTCGCCCGACGTCTGGTCTGATCTTTGACTGAATTTTTTATTATAATAAAACTGAAGTTATATCGCCAATTGAAAGATTGGACTCTAAGTATTTAGGTTAAAGAACGTTTTAGATTATTACTTTTTGGTAATTATTTTTAACTACTTACATTAACATCGGTAGTGACGTGTCCTGTAGTTGAAAGAAGAAAAAGAGAAAAACCCTCAAGACAATTTTGTCTTAAATATTATATGTAGGTAATGTAAGGATAATGTGTATTTTATAAATTTGGAAACAACAGTTTGACAATACCTGTAGACAATGTAAGGGATGTAGAGTTTAACTATAATTATGGTTAAATGCATTGATTATAAATATTCTTTTGTTCACAAAATTTACTCCATTCATTTACTTAGAATATTTAAGCTTAGGGAACCGGCGGGATTTAATAAGAATTATCTTTCGTCTCACGCGAGTGCTTAAAGATCTGGACAAACCCACAACCACTAACTCTTGCTTACATTCTGATGTTGGAGAATTCAAGACTTGGATGGATTAGTTTATTCAAAAATTATTTTAAAAACTTAAGAAACTGGAGTAAGGTTTTGTGAGAAAGTTATGTAGATCACATTATATTACTGACCTACTGTTATACAAAAAGATCCAGGATAAAAAAAAAGATCAACATATTTGTGAAGGAGTGTTTGTCTTTATGTCATGTATTCTTTCTGAATAACTGCAAACTATTAATTATGGAATTTTCATTTTGTTTTTAAAATCATCCTTTGCTATCTGAGCCTGGTCTATCTATATCTGGTCTATTACGTTACTGAGCATGCTGTCGGAACTAGAGATATACGGAATAAATTATAGAAGAATATTTTGTTTCAATGTTTCAGTTTATTTCCATCATTCAATTGAATTACAAAATTCAAAGAATGAAACATTTGATTAGAGTTAAAAAAATCATTACTGTACAAAACAAGCATTGTCTACACAAAGACAAAAGAAATGTACCTGGTACACACAAATAAGGCTTTTGAATAATTAAAAAAACTGCTTTTCTCTTGTATTCCTGAATGAAAGTATCTTTTAATATTTATTTACATGTCAGGTAACATTTCATTAAACATAAATTTTATTTCGCAAGTGAATTAAGGCTGCATATGAAGGTTTCTATGCAAAAAATATCTAATTAAATTCCATAATTGCTCTACCTACCGCACGGAAAATGTTTAGACTTGTTTTCTAATACATTCTTTTTTTCCACGACATGCGATAGCCAGTTCACATAATGACGTCATATTATGACGTCATCGACCTCTACTACACAAGTTTATAGGAAACATCAACAAAATCGCTAAGGCGCAAGGGCATACCTTACTTTGTTTTACAGAAATAAGGTATAAAAAGACGCAGGTTATTCCAAAGATATAAGATATTGCTGCACAAATGTCGGCACTGCAATTGTTAATGGAATTAGGGAACTATTCGTGCAGTTTTAAGTTTAAACAGGGAAAAAATTCACAGTCCAGTGTCAGTTTCCTTATCATTTTATCAAATGACAAAGTGCATAGGATTTGTGCAGCAATTTTATTAATTTTAAATATATTCTCCTTAATATTATACATTGTTTATTAGGTCACATGAGTAAACTCAGGTGACCTATTGCTATTTCTTTTCGGCCGTCGTCGTCAGTCGTACGTCGTACACCGGTCGTAAACTTTTGAACATCTTTAGCTTCTTCTCTGGAACCACTGAACCAATTTCAACCAAATTTAGTATTAAGCATCTATGGATAAAGGGGAACAAAAATTATGAAATTCATGGCCCTGGGATCAGGGGCTCTAGTGCTAGCTAGGGCAGGTCTAAATAGATTATATAGTGAAAATGCATTATTACTTTGAAAATCTTCTTCTCTGCTTCTGAGCTTTGAATAAACTAAGTAAGTACAAAGTTATGATGAGCAAGAGTGACTCTTTGTAAATTGTGAATTTTATTGCCCCAGGGTCAGGGGTTCTGGTGCTACGGTAGGGCTATATAAATTATATAGTGAAAATGCATTATTTCTTTGAAAATCTTCGTCTCTGCTCCTGGGTATTAAGTAAACTAGCTAAGTACAGAGTAATGGTGAACAAGAGTGCCTCTTCCAAAATTGTGAATTTTATGGGTTCTGGTGTTAGGGTGGGGCTCTTTTGATTATATAGTGAAAATGCATTAATTCTTTAAAAATATTCTCCTCTGCTCCTGGGTATAAATAAATTTGAAAAGTACATAGATATGATGATCAAGAGTGCCTCTTCCAAAATTGTGAAATTCTGGCCCGGGGTAAGTGTTTCCGATGTTAGAGCGGGGCTCTAATGATTGTATATATATAGTGAAAATACATTAATTCTTTCAAAATCTCCTTCTCGGCTCCTGGGTTTTAAATAAACCAAGTTAGTATATAGTTAAAATGCCTCAACCAAATTTGTGATTTGCATGGCCCCTGTGTCAGGGGATTTGCCATTTGGTTTATATGGGGGTGGGCTCTTTTAATTATATAGTGAAAATACTTTAATTCTCTGAAAATTGTTTCCTTTCCACCTGGGTGATGATTCAAGTATATATAGTTACGATTAGTAAGTCAGTGCCTCTTCCAAACTAATTAATTTCATGCCCCTGGGTCAGGGGTACATGTACATGTATCGGGGGAGGGGAGTACATAGTCTGAAAATAAATTTATGCTTTGAAATCTGCTCTTTGGTATTTATCTACCGTTTATGATGAAAGAAAATTTATGATAAAATTTCCAAAATTTTGAAATATGTGGCCCAATGGTCAGTGGTACCTTTGGGGTGGGTTGTACTACTGGTTTTATAGTGGAAGTGCATTTTCTCTTTGTTATTCTGGTCTACCTCTGCGTATTAAGTAAATAGAGTAAGCATGCTTAATTCATAATTATGATAAGCAATGGTGCCTCTTTTAAAATTGTGAATTCCATGGCCTCTGGTTAAAAGCACGAACCAAATTAAATTGTTGAAAAGTTGTTACATGATACTCGGGTGACCTATAATGCCCGTGGGCCTCTTGTTTTAAATTAAATAGCATATATCCTTGCGCCGACGAGGATTTGTTGATGTGTTTTTTTTTTACCTTGTATGGGAGAGAACAATGACGTCATGATATGACGTCATTATGATTTACTTGCATTGATATACTGTTAGTACTATGTATGCATAAGAAAATCAATTTGAACTTTCTCTGTACATAACATATACAACTTATGAATTTTTATTAGCTCATTTGCATAGAAACGACCATATTTAACCTTAACTCACTTGCATTTATGTAATTTTATTCTAACATTCTATAGAGCTACTGATATATATTCAATAAAGATACAAATTATACTCTAAATTGTTTTGAAATATTGGAGAATCTATACAAAAACGAAATAACAAGATTCTAGAAAATTTAAGTCAGAAATAAGATCTTTTTTAAACTGGTTGACGTAAATCTTTCTAAACTTCCTCTTATATATCTTGATAATGTTTTACTATATAGAACCATAGCCGTTTTATGCTTGTCTTAGCATCATTCTAGTTTGCGTCAAGGACACAGTCCAGCCTTTGAATTGATACCAGCTTACCCCTTGTCCATGATTGTTATTACCGTATTCGCCGTTTAAGTTTGACTGATGTCCCACATTGTACCACCACGCACCCCGCCACGCCTGCGCACTATTCTGAGTGGAAATTCCATCGTTATCATTATCAAAGGTAGAAAACTGCGCATCATTGTTGCAGTACATATTTGTACACGAAATTCCGTCTCCTGTAAATAGAGAAAATGTCCTTGGAAAGAGTTGTGTAAAAATGTAAGTTACGTACAATTTCTAATTTAGCATATTTTATATCACTTAATAGCTAAATACTATTTAAGTATTAATCTGAATTCCATTTGGAAAACTTGGAGGATAACAAGCGTACCAGCTGTTCCACTGTAACCTGACACATGGATTCGGTAGTTGTCCTCCTCCCCTGCTATATAGAAACTACTGTACTCCGCATACCTAGACTCTGTAAGGTATTTCAATTCCACGCGCAAAACTGTATATCCATTGGTGACCAACAAACGGATGTTGTCAAGTCCTTTAAATACATTACTTGCATTAAATACAAAACCGATCAAGCCAAATTCCAAAACATATCTATTTGATGTGATTAAAATGATTATATATTTCTTTGAGGACCTGAATTTGAGTTTTTGCTTGTTTTGTTTTAAATAAAAGAATCAATCCTTTTAGAAAATTATCACTAAAAGACCTTTCGGAATATTAAAATGTTTTTTTTTTATAAAATGGAAAAAAATATATCAAATATATCCTCTAAAAGAAATTTGACTGCGATATCAGCAACTGATTTCAAACATGACTGGTTAAAGCTGAACACGACTCGTAAATAGGCATAAGCCAATATTGATTCTAGTAGCTACGATATCAGAACCGGGTTATACTCTTCACATTCGCACCTGACTGCTTTATGTCACTGGTATCAGCGTGAAACGGCGACACGTGTTCGTGCTGGCATGAAACGGCGACACGTGTTCGTGCTGGTTATCTTGCATTCCTTTGCTCACATTTTATTGCAGTGAAGTGTTTCTGTGTTTGTTTGTATACTGCATTTACCACGGCAAGTATCAAAAGTTTCAAGGGTATCTTACTTTCCTGCATTAAAAAAAGTACAAAATTTTATTTTGTCGCTACCGAGTGCTGTAAAGCATTCTAGTACGTCCGTCCACGTCGGTGCTTGACGACTGATTCCATTGAATAGTGACCAAGTCAGCGGGTTTATATAAGAATCCTCAGATATTGCGAGAAACCAATCGAGTATGGCGGACACATTCCTTTTACAAATCATGTTCAGCTTTAAAAACAGATTGAGTATTTGAGTTTGTTGGGGACATGTTTTTCAATTGTACAAAAAAACCAACTTTTTATAATCTTTATATTCTTTTACAGCATATTTAATCAATTTTAATTTACTTACCAATCCAGAACTCAGAATTGAGATCTCCAAATCCGATTTTGTATTCAGTCCATCCTCTGTAAAAGTTTACAGAGCCATCAAACCTTCTTTGTATCATCTAAACAAAATAAACAAAAATTATTTTAAAAAATCATATATTTGTGAATTTTCATAATTTTAAAGACCGTTTAAGGAATCATTGATTTCTTTAATTTTAATATTTGTATACCTACCGTCCAAATATGGCCGGCTGTATTCATACAATTGGCAGGAAACTGTTGACCGTCCATCTTCACTGTGTGAGTCAGAAATTGGCCTACAGAGGGCGTGACAGCTCTACAATCGCAGTCTAAAAATAAGCTATACGTATCATGATATCTGTGAACATACTTTAACCATGCAAAATATTATTTTTACATTTAAGGTCAAACAAGAAACATATATTGACGCAAGCGTCAAAAATCAGACAAATTAATTGTTCCGAAGTAATTATTGAAACTGAAATTTGCGTGACCTGTTAATTCAATTTTTTTTTATTTTTCTGTTTAAGTATCTCCGTGACATGAATCACTTCCTACGACACTGCCGATTTTCTTCATGAATATTACATGTATAAGCAAACTATATATAGATCTCGGGTGGAAGTTTGATGTCTATGTATAGTTTTTACATAAAAAGTACAAAACTAAAGTTTAAACTTAGCTCTAACTATAGATAGTTTTACTTTAATAAAAACGCAACAACTATGTGGGCTCCTCGCTCGCTTCCAGCAGAGGATGCTCACCACCACCCCCTTCCCAACTCCCTCTAGATCCACCACTACATTTCTTCTCTGTCAGTCTCCCTTTTTTGGTGATGAGAGGTGGCGGGAAAATGCTTGGCACATTGTAAAACGTGCTAGTATCCTAGTCTCCTGGGCCAAAATGTTGTAAGATTCTGTGCTTTTAGGAAATCAATATCTCATCATATTTTTGAAAAATTTCCATTTGAAATCTATAAATATGCACATCATTTTAAAATAAATACAACAAATCCTGTTTAAAAAGAGAAAGTAAAATTGTTGATATACAACGAGGTCTTTGTTTTAGATAATGCCTAACACTCGTGTTAATTTTCTCCGCACTTCTTTCATGTCACAGTTTGGCAATCAGGATTGGATGAAACATTTACTCCATTATTTCTAAAATTTTAATCTTATGATTATTGTGCTTTTTGTTAAACATTTAGACAATCTTTGTGTAATATTCTATAATATGAATGTTAAATATTTTTATTTAATAAATTGTTTCAACTCCGCAGAAACGCACGACGACTTCAAACTTTCATATCAAATAACCGACCGCCTCCTGGCGGCCGGTAATAAAACATCAAATTATTGGAATTTAACCTAAAGGTTTTTTGTTTTGTATTAATCAAATGTTAATTTTGACGATTTTTTTTTCTGATTTTAGACAATATGGAAATGAAACAAAATAATTACCCATTCTTTCACATTCGAAACTATTATGGCTTTAAACGCAGCTTCGATTTTATTTCTCAGGTCTCAGTAATATAAAAGGAATACTCATTAACGCAAGACACGATGAATTGCAAAAAAGTCAAACATAAGAATCTGTGTAATATTCAGAGAGAGAGAGAGAGAGAAAGAGAGATTGACGAATTTGGTTGCCTAGGAGAAGTAAACATTCCTTGTTTGTCGACCGGCCACAGTTATTGACAGAATAAAGAACCAACACTGCCGAATGCATCAAAGTGACGAATTTTGAGCTGAATTTGAATCCCCCCTCTTTATACGTTGACATTTCTATATGTGTATATAAAAATCCAATGCGATTCAAAACAACAGTCAACCAATCGCTCGCCTTTAGTCGGTTCAACTTAAAAATATTTAATCGGATTTTGAAAACTATCCGGTATGTAGGCTTGTTATGGTAGAGTGACATCAATGTGCACTGTTACAACGCTAAATGTCATGAAAGAAAAAGTGAGCTAGCTCACATACCCCGCGCTCCCCCAAAACTCAAAGTGCCGAAAATCAAATAAAGGAATCGGAATTTCCTTATGCACATCTACATATTGTGTCCCAAATGTCTGCAATGTTTGACCAAATTCTGTGCAGCGATCTATAAGGAGTTGAGCTGACAAACTGTTCATCTCTATATTCAAGATATTGCCAAAACTCTAGGATGAAAAATGCCGAAATTTCCGGAAAAAAAAGGAATCTGAATTTCCTGGTAATATACACATATACACATTGTGTACTAAAAATGTGCAGAGTTTGACCAAATTCTGTGCAGCGATTTATGAGGAGTTGCGCTGACAAACTGTTCATCTCTATATTCAAGAAATTGCCAAAACTCTAGTTTTAAAAATGCCGAAATTTCCGGAAAAAAAAGAATCGGAATTTCCTGGTAATATACATATTGTGTCCTAAATATGTGCAAAGTTTGACCATATTCTGTGCAGCAGTTTATGAGGAGTGCGGTGACAAAAAAAGGACTGGCGGACTGACACTCTGACTGACTGACTGACTGACAGACGGACGGGAGAAAAACATTATACCTCACGCAACTTGTTGGATGGGGTGAAATAACAACGTAAAATGTAATAAATCTGGATTATTACATTTTGCGTTCTTACATTTTGCGTCGAGATCAAGGCAAAATGTAATAACGCAAAATATAATAACAAGATTCTTGGATTCTTATATTTTGCGTAATTACATTTTGCGTCGAAATCATCGCAAAATATGCTTTTTTGTTGTTATATTTTGCGTTATTTAATGTTTGCACTGAAGACAAGGCAAAATGCAATGAATTGATATGTAATAAAACAAAATATAAATATTAATTTTTTGATTGCGTTTAAAACAAACATCATAAAATTGATTTAATATATAACCAACACGGGAAACACGCTTTACAAAATATTTAGAACAATGAGACAAACGTTACGGCTTCGTATGTTTATCATTGTATTATTGTGGACATTTAGAAATATTCCATTTCATTATTGGATGGAAAGAAGAGAGAGAATTTTGTTTTTGCTTGTCTGCTGGTGATTTGTATGCAACAGTATGGTATCATAACTCTAAATAAACCCCCTTTCCGTTATATATTAATACCTGCTAGTACATATCAATGGAAAGTTTTTTTAGATTGATTGCATTTATCTATAAAAAGCAAAAGCACGCTGGCCTATACCCCCCCCCCCCCCCCCAAGCACGTTTCTAATTTGCAAGACCCATAATTTGAATACATGTACTAAACTGATTTTTAATACAAGTATACGTACCTAATTACTAATTAAAGCAATATATTGTAAAATTTATTTAATAATGCGCAAAATGTTATAACGCAAAAAGTAATAATGCTCAAATGTGTGTTGTTACGTTTTGCGTTATTACATTCTGCGTTGATTTCGACGCAAAATGTAATGACGCAAAATGTAATAATCGAGGCTAATTTTACATTTCATGTTGTTATTACATTTCGCACTGTAACAGTGCACATCAAAAATATACTAAAGGGCATATTTATTTGATTTACCTGTCCATTTAAGAATGTTTAACTCAAATAGAAGAGACATTATTCGACTACGTGGTCTGGAATGTACACGGGATTTTAAATTTTGACCTTTACTTGAATCTCAAGGCAATTAAGCATTGAGTGTTCCTTTTCGTACAAACGCTTGCCATGAGTCCAGGGGATCTTCGAAAAAACCTTAATCATTTTGCTCAAAATACAACACTAACTGCATGAAAATGCACTGCTCTCTACTTTGAAAGACTCAAATCATTTTGCAACAGTACTTGAATTAAATTTATGACCTTTGTATTAGTTTTTATTATTTTTAGTGCGAGGTAAAAAAAAAATAATAATTAGTTTTGGTCACAAAGACTGGCTTTTAATTATTATTATTATTCATTATTAATCAAAAATTGGACATATGAATGTAACACTTTAAACCCAAATAATAACTGCAAAATGGTGACTTATTTAACACTTTGTTTTCATGCAAAGGTTTAATATGCTTGTTTTGTTCGGTTTCTTTTGAAATATATAGTCTGGTGATCTTTATCTCAGTTTATTTTATCTATTCTTATAACAGAGGAGACTTAATATCATGTCACAGGTTCAGAAAAGTGTATATTTTTTTGAATTTTTTCTCCTAAGAACTGGAAAATAAAATAGACTTGGAAAATAGTAGTAATATTTCAATAAAATAACAAATTTTGACAAATCACACTCAGTAAAGGTTCACAGGTGAAAACAAATAGATTCATCATTTAGGCTGATTTTTACCGTTTTGCTTTTTCTTTTAAAATTCACCCGTCTTGTTACATTTTTCTTTAAGTTTATATTACACTTTTAGCACTTGGCTAACATATTTTGAAATTTGTTTTTATCTGTATACCTTTACTGAGTGTAATATGTCTGTATTTGTAATTTTATTGAAATATTACTGATATTTCCCAAGTCCATTTCATTTTCCAGTTCTTAAGTCAAAATATTCTAAGAATTATCCACTTTTTCTAAACCTTTGACATGATATTAAGGCTCCTCCAAGAAAAAAAACTGTTTGTATCATCTGTCCCAAAACATATAACACTAGTAAACGTAATTGTTTTCATCAATATTTAACACACTAGCAGAAAATGTTGCACAGGTTTTATATTCCAGGTTGAAATTGCTCAAGAACTCTAAATACAAACATGTTATACCTGTTTAGTCAGTTATTTACAATACGCACCAAATCTTTTCTGCTGCATCAAAATAAAATGCACGCTGGCAACCCTTTAACATTCTTATTTACTTTAATATCAAGCGGTGTGTTCTGTGAAATGCTAAAATCCATACAATGACTGCAATAATTTTCTTTCAGTAAGAAATCTGTGTTCCTCTTTTAATGCAATTAGTAATCCTTTTAATTGAGATACGATACCTACCTATAACACAATGGCAATGTCCCTTTCTTCTGTTAAAATAAGAATCCCGACCACATGTGTGTTCCTATTGAAATTAACAAAAAAAAACTTATTATTTATTTACTTCAAAACTCCCCAATCATTTTAAAAAAGACAAAAAACAAATAATTTAGGGGGGTTTACATACTCCTAAACCGACCCCATCATCATTTTTTTCTTCACATGCTTGAATCTTTTGGAAATTTTGATCTCACTTACTGAAGTTAAATCAATGGAAATGGTTAAATGGAAAAAAGGGGAATGCGTCCCTCTAAATATTTTTTTTAGAATTAGAATTATATTTTTTGATAGTTGACATTAAAATGATGAAATGATGCAAAAAATATCAATAGAAAATACATTAATGTGCTGGACTAAGTGTAGCTTTACCTCTGCAAATATACACAGGTAATTTCAATATTTCTTGATGCTACCTTTAAAAAAATGTTGGTTGCCTTCTCTCGACCGACTGACTAATTGATCCAACTAAATACTGTTTTTTTACATTTCAGGACACGATTTTCTTTTATTTATATTCCTCTAATCAGGTCAACAATTATGTGATAGAAAAAAAGATTTTCCCACCTACCTAACAAACCCAATAATTTTACACAGACTCGGTATGTGGCAAACAAACAATATTTCAAAGATGGCTTTTAATAACGTGCAGACTTTCAAATGATATTTAGATTTTTTAAAAAATACATCATTTTGTTTTTTCAGCGCATTATTGTCTCTGTTTAACAAGCCACGTGATCAAAAATTGTCTGATTCTCTTCAGCCATTGATCTTTTTTTTTTTTTAGAAAAAAAATATTTTTGAATTTGTTTTTAACTACGAAAATTCTTTGTCAATTGTAATTTTTTTCTTAATATTAAGATTATTTCTAGAAGTAATTTTTAGTCACCTTAGATTTAACACTTGAAAGTGAGTTTAAAAGAACATACCGATAGTGAATTTTTATCGATGCATTTCGAATATGAAGTTTTACAGATATCTGGAAAAAGACATGCTTTATGTCAATAGTTTTAATGTGTTTCGTATGTATAAACGTATTTAGTTTTAGCGGGTAGAAAAAATTAGAATTTTCACAAGTTGTGGTAAAACTAAAAGAATATTTTGATACAGTAAACGCAAATAACAACTACATGTTCCTATAACTAATTTATCTTTAAAACTATAATATATATACTCTGTGAAATAAATGCTTTAAAACGTTTAGACATGAATATTTCAATGTAAATTCTTACCAGTTCATATCGAAGGCAGGTATTACTTCCAGTGACCATATATGTTGAAATGCTTGAACTAATTCTGAAAAGTGTTCTTGTATCAAATGAACATATTTCTACTGCGTTACAGTCCAGATTCTTGTAGCACTCTACAGCACCATAACGCAATGACATATCCGATATAGTCGGAATTAACTCAGATATTAACAAAGATGTGTCAAAATAAGATACATTTCCTTGATATACAAAGTTACTGCTAACTGTACTGGCTTCCAAATATGGCACATACAGGTATAGAAAACTGTGGAAAAATATCAGATTCATTTTTTTTATTGCGAGAATGTAGAAAATCTTTTCCTTTAAAGGTCTGCATGCAAGCATAACGATTTCTGCACATTTTTAACATAGTTTTCCATTTATTTGAGCTATGCAAGAATGTTTCATCAATTAAACAAATATCCAGTTTGAAGAATTTAACAATAATTTTTTTATAATTGTGGTTCTGTACGACCCATCCAGGAGATAGTTCACTCGCGAAGCATTTAAGATTTTAAGTTCTTTCACCTTTTACGAGTATGCTCAAAGGAATCGAATACATGATTTCTTTTAAATTGGTTTGCTGAATATTTTATTAACGTATGGCATGGAATAGGAGAAGAAGCTATTGGGGTTTCTTTGTTTAAAGGTTTACCATGCATCTCCAAATGAATTGATTTATTGGAGGAAACCCACAAACATATTTAAAAAATTATACATGTTCAACCAGTTCTTGACTGTTTTAAAACAAATGTGTTTGCTACCTTTTATTTTTTTAATAAGTTCTGAAAAATCATTTTAGGCCTATTGTTCTTTTAAAACATTTAAGAATGATTTTTCTTTATGATTTTTTTCTCATTCAACTTATTTTTGATGATTAAAAATGAAATATGTTCAAATAAGAAATATTGATTAAGAAGAATTTTTATGTTTATTCAGTTTTATGTGAATACTACGAAATACTGTATACCTGGTATATGATTTTGAGAATGGATGAACTTAAAGAAATCTTTCCTCGTAAAGAAAGTAAAAACAAGAGGCCCAGGGGCCACATCGCTCACCTGAGCAATTGGCTAGGAAAAAGCACAGATCAGATCAGAACTGAAATGTACGGGGGGGCTAGAATTTTATCTCCCCAGGGGGTCATGATTTGAACAAACTAGAATCTATTTACTACCTGAAGATGATTCCCTATAAATATCACTAAACATGGCCTTGAAGTACTTGAAAAGAAGATTTTAAAATGTTTCCCTATATATTTCTATGGAAAACTTTGGTCGGTTATTTTAGCCCCACCCTACCCCCGGGGGTCATGATTTGAACTAACTTGAATCTACCTTACCTGAGGATGATTCCACATGAGTTTCATCTTTCTTGGCCAAGTGGTTCTTGAGAAGATTTTTAAAGATTTTTTCTATATATTCCTATGTAAAATTATGATAGGCTATTTTGGCCCCACCCTACCCCCAGGGATCATGATTTGAACAAACTTGAATCTACACTACCTGAGGATGATTCCACATGAGTTTCATCTTTCCTGGCCAAGTGGTTCCTGAGAAGAAGATTTTTAAAGATTTTTTTCTATATATTCCTATGTAAAATTTTAATTGGCCATTTTGGAACCACCCTACCCCCGGGGGTCATGACTTGAACAAACTTGAATCAACACTACCTGAGGATGATGCCACATGAGTTTCATCTTTCTTGGCCAAGTGGTTCTTGAGAAGATTTTTAAAGATTTTTTCTATATATTCCTATGTAAAATTATGATAGGCCATTTTGGCCCCACCCTACCCCCAGGGATCATGATTTGAACAAACTTGAATCTACACTACCTGAGGATGATTCCACATGAGTTTCATCTTTCCTGGCCAAGTGGTTCCTGAGAAGAAGATTTTTAAAGATTTTTTTCTATATATTCCTATGTAAAATTTTAATAGGCCATTTTGGAACCACCCTACCCCCGGGGGTCATGACTTGAACAACCTTGAATCAACACTACCTGAGGATGATGCCACATGAGTTTCATCTTTCTTGGCCCAGTGGTTTTTGAGAAGAAGATTTTTAAAGATTTTTCCTATATATTCCTATGTAAAACTTTGATCTGCCATCTTTGCTATATATTCCTATGTAAAACTATGATAGGCCATTTTGGCCCCACCCTACCCCCAGGGGTCATGATTTGAACAAACTTGAATCTACACTACCTGAGGATGATTCCACATAAGTTTCATCTTTCCTTGCCCAGTGGTTCTTGAGAAAAAGATTTTTTTAAAATGCCATTAATTTTTCTATAATTCATAATTATCTCCCCTTGGAAAAGGGCCTGGTCCTTTATTTGAACAAACTTGAATTCCCTTTACCCAAGGATACTTTGTAGCAAGTTTGGTTGAAATTGGCCCAGTGGTTCTTGAGAAGAAGATGAAAATGTGAAAAGTTTACAACGACGACGAAGACAACGACAACAACGATGACGACAGACAACGGACACATTTTGATCAGAAAAGGTCACTTGAGCCTTTGGCTCAGGTGAGCTAATAAAAGTAACCACTTTCACAATGTCTTTTCTTGGTCTCGTCTTTAGTGTTTTATATTAAGATAATCTTTAATGCCGTTCCTGGAAAAAACTATAGTTGAATGCACATCGTGTTTGATGCTACATTCTTGTCCTGAGAACAATAATGTGAAGATTTTTCAATTGTATTAAAACGCATGATAACGCAGGTTTCTTTCTGGATTGAACAAAAGGGAAAAAACAAAGATTTTCATTCTAGAGAAATTTCAATATATTTTTTTTTCAAACAAAGGTATTTAGCGAGGTAAAATATAATCATCTCGACGGTATTTGAATTCAGATTTATCTATTATCATTTAAAAATGAAGAATGAAACATTTTATCGTAGATAATATTTATAAATACATGCTACATACAAGAATTTATAATACAAGAATTGTTTTTCTCTGTTGATCTTCCTATACCAAGCCAAGATTATTATATGCATTTTATATGGACATGCATTAATCTTTGACAGTTGAACGTCAAATTCTGTCGACCAAAAATGTGAATACAATAAGGTAAACGAAGTACTCCCTTTTCAATTTAAGTACAATAATCTAAAAATAGCATAAACGTCATGAAATTAATTTCCGACGGATAGGATGTCTTCGTCGAAAAGACGATTATAAATGGGGTCGATTAAATGCTTGTAATAATAATATCACATTCTTCATTAAAAAACTCAAATTTGTTGTACTAAAAGCATTCTAGTGCGGTCCGAATCATTTAGGAGATATAAGCATCATATTTAGGTGACTTTGAAACATAACTTTAATAAACAAGATTATGATAAATAAGCCGCAGTCATCCTGTTCGTCAAAGAGTTATTCATTGTTGGCCATTTGCGTCTATATTCAGAACTATGAAACAGAAGTGGTAGACTTCAGAGTTTCTAAATTGGAATATATTATTTCGAATATGAACTACAAGTAACAACATGATCTGTTAATTCATGAAAGCTTTGAGGTCCTCGCTTTAAATATATGTCGAGTTGTATGTAAGATCACTATATTGTTTCTCACTGATGAGCTTTTTATATTGTTGGTTCATAACAATGTAATATCAGTTTGGCTCACTGAATGCCATTGAAATTCCAACAAATTGTTTGACCACCTGGCCCCAAGACCATAAACTGAGAACAGACTCAAAAGTTTGATTTTTTAATCTTAAGTTTCATTCAAAGTATTAGCTTAAAAATTTGCAATTGTGCAAAATGCTTCAATTCTAAAATATGATGAAATGTTTTATTATTAAAATCATTTCCAAAGTTATATCAATTTGAAATTTTGACTTATGTCTGTTCTCGGTTTATGGTCTTGCGGCTAGGACTCCAAAAATTATACTGATGTTGCGAGGTGGAACTCGAGTAATTTTTTAAAATCAGTTTCAGAATTTTGAATATAAAATCGGGACGACTTTTAAAATGATCTTCAATTTCATTAATAAAGCAGTTGTCCATTAAACCTACCTGTATATAACCTATACTTATAAATAAAAAAATTGCAAATAAAATCCAAAACGTTTGTACCAGAGTTCCTACTTACTCCTCTAACAATACACTGTATACTAGAGGATGTCCATACACCATATTTAGACTGCATTCGGATGGTAAGTATCATGCTTTAAATTTAAAGTCTACTTAAATTAAGGACATTTGTCAAAAAAATTAAAAATAACAACTTTGATCGTTTTTGAATGAGTAAAATGAATACGTTTCACCGAGTAGTTTTTAATTTTTATTTAAAATAAAGGTAAATAATTGATAACACTATAAGTTGTGAATTGAATATATGATATATATATATACTGATACATTGAATTGTGCATATTTACTGATTTCATCCTTCAAGGAAATGAAGTACGAACATCTAGTGTGCAATATCAATAAAACTGTATAACAGGTTTCATATAAACGTCAATAAAGAAATTGTTATTTTTCAAGTCTTTACAATGAGGGATTGGGTTTGAGACCAACATCTAATTCATGCGGGATTTTGAACAAAGAACTTCTTCCATTTATAAACTTGTAGTCTGTCGGTGAAAATGCCAAAAATTCTGTCTGTGAAATATATAGAGATAACGAACAGCATTCAAAACCAAGGCAATAAACAATAAAAAGGAGCAGACCAACACGGACCTAAAAACGTTAGTGGTGGGATCAGGTGCTATGGAGGAGTAAGCATCCCCACCGACCGGTGATATCTACCGTGTGTATGTATGGTGAAATTGATATATAATTGTGAACTATTTTGAACCTTGTTATGATCTGGAAAAATCTGTCGTCAATTCAATGTGTTAGTAATGGCCTAAAAAATATTGTGAAAAACGTCATTAAGCATTTGACTTTATGATAAATTGTTCTTGCTGACAAGGTCATAACATCGAACATTAGAGCGTACGATTTGATGACTTTGAATGAGACTGTTGATATTCTTGTTTCAGCAATTTTTTTTTCAGTAATTTATCTCGTTTTCAAAATTGTTCATATGTAGAGAATGCGCTTTTGTTTCGAATAACTCAGAGATATAAAACTCTGGTGCAGGTGATAAAGAAATATTGCTGCATAAGTACGGTAAGTTGACGATTCAAAAGTTATTCATCACGTTAATCAGAATGCTTTCGTTATTAGATTGCCATTTACGTCTTTTTCAAGTAAATTAGCTAAAGATGAATCAGATGTGTTTGGCGTGTCACAGTGAGTATCAAACCTAATCCATTCTTATGTTTTCTGGTGTCAAGGAACCCAGTTCCAGTATGTTACCTTTGGTGTCCACTAAAGGGTAATAATCTTGCATATAATGTGTCCCCTATCAGTTTAAAAGTAAAGTTTTGAAAGAAATTGGCAAATCACCTGAAATACGCCTTTATGTTTTCCATTTCTGTGAACGCCCTAATGTTTAATTTAATTATTCAGTCAGATTTACATTGGCATATACATATACGCACCAACACCTATAAGAAATATATTTTCGAAATTCAGATCTCCTGAAGAGAATACAAAGGGATATATAAAAAAAAATCAATTCAATAAAAGTGTTCGCTTTAATAATTAAAAACAAAAATGTTTACGCAAAATTTTATCAGCGCCAAATTAATTTTCTATTGCCAGGTAGGAGTATGAATAGAAGGAGCTAATTCATTCATAACAACAAATATTAACATTAATTTTATATTATCCATGTTTTGACCATCATCATTGCATGCAATTATTAATACAGCAGTACACTGCCTGACTTTATTTCATACCAGAATTTGTGAAATACACTTAGCATTCTAAGTTTTTTGTGCTTTGATCTATGTAATATGAAAGGGATTAAGCAATTCTGACATGTCATAATGTTTATGATATTTAAAAATTATTGATTTTCAATTTTGGGTATAAAGATATTGTGATCTCAAGAGTAATTTCATTTGAAGTTGAATTTAAACATGAACATATGACAATATGTTTCACTTAAAATATCATCAGAAGAATCACGTTTTTATTGTTGATATTCATTGTAATACTGACAATGTGAAACTCTCTGAAATATATTTATGTTTTTTTAACTCATGTGAACAAAATAATTTTAACAATTTCAGAATAAAAAGCAATGTTAATAATATGCTCACAAATCGAATTTATTTACGTTAACTATGTTCATGCTGAGTTAATTGATATTTTTTTTACTTTAAGGGATACCTTTGATATTATGTAGCGGCCGCCAGATAAAATAATTTTCCTAAGTTGCACCAACATGCTTCCGTACTTTGACGTGCAAATATATTTAGAACTTTAATCTATACCATAACTTGTAAAAGGCACTTGCATGTAGGTCAGTAACATAATAGCACAATATGTGTAAAGTTGCATATAACATGAAGAAAAGCAACTCTGACATTTTATACTGTTCAATGATAAATTTCAAACCTTAGGTATTGTGTACATGTACAGTGTAATGTGCAATGTATATTACTTTCTGAGGAAAATAGTATCGAAATTGAATGTATACATGTTTTAAAAGTAATAATGTTCCTTGTAATTTGCCCAAGGGATTGATTGAACACATCGTGGTTAGTATCTTTTTATGTCGCTCCTGTTGCTTTTAAATCTTTACCTAAATTGGCATTTGTATACTACTATTTCCTAAAAAGGTCTATTAATTTGGCACCAGATTTAATGTTGGAAAAATTTAACACCGCAACACAATAAACTTAATCTTATTTTTTATTTCTTTACTTTTTTCAAAATTCAGAGAATTAATTACACTTATTTCTCCTTATTAAACAGTATGCATAAGAGGCGGAGCTAACATCGTAAAAATAGGTCTAAAATTAAACAAGATTAATAACAGTGACATGTATTTAAAATACGCGATAACTATTTTCTATCTCCCTATTTATACTGCATTGTACAAGTACATTATTTACAAAGGTATAAAATTTAATTTACATTATGAGCCCGTCCATGAAGGTTAAGAATATTTTAAAATCGATTTAACTTGTTCGAGCATATCATATTTAGCACAAAACATGCCGTCTTACAAGTCACTTGATGGAATTTAGCATTCATAAAGTACCTCACGGGATATATTCTGCGTATCACAACCCTTGGTAACAACATAGAGAGGCAGTGCAAGAACAAACAGTTTTTTTTTAAGTCATGATAGCATGCTCGTCAAATTATCTTCTTTTAATATAATAATTCAATGCAGATATGTCATGACTGTTATAAGGAGAACAATAAACAAAACTGCGCTGACTATGTATAAGATTTATCGAGATTGAAAAAATTGTAAAGATCTAGAAGATAGATTTGTAGTTTGTTAATACATATACAAGTACACACTTCTATTTATTGTAATTACGCAAAGGTGTAGATTATATGTTGATTATGCCTGCAATTAAAAGACAAGGGGTCCACGGGCCTATTAGGTCAACTAAGCAGTGGCGGATTTAAGGGGGGAGCACCCGGCGCACCCCCTCCTCCCAAATTGTCAAAGTTAACGTAAATCACAGTTTCGTCTAGACAATGTAAATATGTCTACTTGGTAGACCTCATTTTTACCCTACAAATTAAATCTATAGAACCCAGGAGCTTCCGGGGGCTTCGCCCCCTGAGCCCCCACCAGGGCTTGCCCTGGACCCACTGGGGGCCTCAAGGCGGCCCCAGACCCCTTGCCTACTTTTGGCGCCCCCTCTAAATTCAATTTCTGGCTCCGCGCCTGCTAAGTATTATGTAACAGCGTTCCAGCAATTGAATTTGATTCGTTTTTTAAACCAGACGCCATAAAATTCACAGTTTTGAAATAGGCACCATTGCTTATCATAATTATACACTTAGCATGCTTACTTTGGTTACTAAAAACTCAGAGGTAGATCAGAGCAACAAAGAGAAAAAAATCCACTTTATAACTTATTGTGATCCCCCCAGAAAGCACAGACCCTAGGCCACATAAATAAAATTTATACCAAATATCAGATTTTAAAGCATTACTTTATTTTCAGACTATGTACCCCCAAGTATGTACCCCCCAATACTAGTACCCCTGACCCATTGACCCTGAAATTAACTATTTTTGGAAAAGGCACCATTCTTAATTATTATATGTACTTAAATAATAGACATAACAGCCAGGAACAAAGGAAAAGATTACCAAAGAATCCATTCATTTCACCATATAAACACCCTAACACCAGAACTCCTCACCCAGGGGCCCTGAAATTTAGAATACTGAAAGAGCTAGGCGTCATTCCTCATCATAACACTATGTACATAGTTCATTGGTTTCATAACCAAGCGCAGAGGATTTTTAATGAATTTATGCATTTTTTAACTATATAATCAACAGAGCGACCAATCTAAAACTAGAACCCCTGAAACAAGAGCCCTAAAATTCACAATTTTGGAAAAGGCCTTCTTACTCATGATAACTATGTTCCTCGTTACTGTAGTTTGTTTAAGATTTTTAAAGAATTAATGTATTTTCACCATATAATCAATAGATTCCCGCTCTAACACCAAACCTTTCGTACCTGGGTCGATGAAATTCACAATTTTTGTGAACATTCTTGCTCATCATAACTATAAACATAATTTATTGGTTGAATACCCAAGAGTTGAAGAGAAGAATTTATGCATTTTCACTATATTATCAATACAGCCCCACCCTAACACTAGAATTCCTGACCCAGTGGCCATGAAATTCACAATTTCGGAAAAGGCAGACTTGTTCAGTTTATTCATGTACTTGATTTGTTTACTACATGTCCAGGAGCAGATATTTTCAAAGAATTAATGCATTCTCTCTATACAATCTATTCAGCCACGCCTCGAACAAGAACCCCCCTAGAGCCATGAATTTCTCAATTTTTATAGAGATATCAATGCTGATTACAATCATACCAACAGTTTGACTACTTGGTGTCTAGGAATGAAGGAAACAAAATTAAAGATTGGATTCAATTAAGTGGTTTTGGTCCCACCCCTTAGGTCCCATGTGGGGAGGCTGGGACCATGAAATTCACAATTATTATTCCCTAGATGCCGTATGCCAAAATTGGTTGTAATTGGTTTACTGGTTGCTGAGAAAAAGCTGAAAAAGTTTAAATGTTAACGCACGGCGATCGGCGGACGAAAACAGATAGCAATAGGTCACCTGCGTTTACATAATGCAAAAAAGAAACACTTATTTTATTTTTGTTTATGATTATCACTGCAAAATTTGAGGACAAACTTCAGGCTTGTCGAAGCATCATTCGAGTTTTAGACATAGATACCGACCATCCTTTATAAGGGTACCAGTTTAACCCCTTTCCATGATTGTTATTGCCGTATTCGCCATTGAGGTTTGACGTATGTCCTGTGCTGTACCACCAAGCCCCCCGCCACTTATCGGCTTCATTTAGTGATGGGTTAAGGTCGTTATCTTTATCAAATGTGGAAAACTGAGCCCCGTTGTGGCAATACTGGTGTACACAGGAAAAACCGTCTCCTGTAAACACGAAAATGCTAAAAAGGTAAAATACAATGATATATCTTTGTGGTCTTCTTTTGTTTATGTCTTAGAAATGTTAAAAAGTAGTATGACATGTTTGCTTCTTTTTTACAATTTTATTTTCTAGCTGAAATATTGTTTCTTTGTCACTTAAAGCTGATATGTAGCGGATGAGAACGAAATATACATTTTCCAATGTAGCGTTATTATTACATGTGTTATCTATTAATAATAATGAATGTTTTTAGTTAATGTGCAGTAATATTTTTTATGTGTACACATCATAACACATTAGTCCGAAAAATCTTACATTTTCCTGGTTTTTTGAGATTTTTATATTTTATATGCCAGGAAAACGTCAGAACCGGCACCATTTCGAGAATTTGTAATTTTGCCGTCTCAAACTGGAGTTCATTTTTAGTACTTGCGAACCGAACTAAATGTGGAAATCAGAATTTATCAACAGCACTATGCCTTTAGTACTCGCCAATATTGATGAAAAGAAAATATCTCTCCATATTTTGTCACAGGACTTGCAAGATTTTAAAATTCACGAAATGAAGACTCGGAATGAATCTTGACAATGGATAAAATCTTTTCAACGGATTACATGTTTTACAAATGAACCATAAATACGATATTGGTAAGTACTAAAAGTATTTTCTATTGATAACTTGTGACTATGAAATTTAATTCGGTTCACAAGTATCTTAAATCAACTCCAGTTGGAGGCGGCGATTTCCCAGTTTTCCTAATGACGCCTGGTTCTGACGATTTCCTGGGAATATCACAATCGTAAAAAAGGCCTAAAAACGTCAGATATTTCGGACTATAACACATATTATGCATTATGTAGAATTATTGCTAGCGTACCAGACAAACATTTTGGACATTCAGCATGTTCAGGGCTCATTTTGAAAATTAAATTTTATTATTCTTTCCTTTTTCAAATAAAAATGTTCAATTAAATCAAAGATTTTAAAAAAATCATTAGTGTATGTACTTCAAACATATACAAGATGATGAGTAATATTTTTTTGCAGTTAGATTAGAGTATTTCTTTGTAAAGAATGTATTGATAACAAATATAGTGACCTGAAATCTGTCTATTAAAAAAAATTAGTATTGAAAATCATCAAGGGAAGAATTGGAGACATATTCCAATACCTGCTGTTCCACTGTATCCTAAGATCTGGAGTCGATAATTGTCCCCCTCCCCCGCTATAGAGAATCTACTGTACTCCGCATACTTAGATTCTGTACCATATTCCAATTCCACACGTAGAACTGTATAGCCATTGGTCACCAACAGTCGGATGTTGTCAAGTCCTGAAAAGCATTAAACGAGAAATGGAGACAAATGTGTACAGGTGTGCTTTGCTTGCTGTTTTGTTTACATTTTCATTTTATGTTATATAAAAATTGTTGTTAAAAAATTGATGTATTTGTAGGCCTGTCAATGTAATTTAATATATGCAATAGTGTGTCAGTGCCCCATACATATATTTTGCGTCACCTTAAATGATATTTTTTTTAATAAAAAGCGTTTTCATATTTTTCTTCATTCAATTTGATACATAAATTATTACATGCGTCATTCGAAATTGAAAAGCAGCACAAAAGAAATATAATTAAAGTTCGTCTTTTTAAAAAAAGTTAAAAGAATTTAGTGCACTATTACTTTTTTATTTAATAAATTGTAAAATACATATATTTTATCTGAAGTAAATTGCTCACCGATCCAAAATTCAGAATCTAGGTCCCCGAATCCAGTCTTGTATTCTGTCCATCCTCTGAAGAAATTGACAGAACCATTAACTCTCCTCTGAATCATCTAAATAAAATGAAAAAAATATGACAAAAATGGAGAAAAAAACTAAAAAAAAATCAAAATTCCATTTATAATAAAATAACATGTTTTCTAGGGGTCATTTTTTATGCTTAGGAAAAAAATATTGTTGCGTGCGTGATTGTTCTTGTGGATAAAGAAATGTGGTTTTGTAACGCATTTAAATAATTCTTAACGTAGCAAAAATAACGTAATTGGACCTCATATTTACATGTACCATGTTCATAGCCAAAAATTTAACCTTTATGATAATAAGTGCCTCAATAGTATTTTTTTAATTACCGTCCAAATGTGACCGGCTGTGTTCATACAGTGGGTAGAAAATTGTTGGCCGCCTAATACTACTGTCTGAGGCAAACTTTCTCCAATAGAGGGCGTGATAGATCCACAGTCACAGTCTTAATTAAAAGAGTCAATCAAATCATTTCATGTGAATGTATTCATTTTCTTTTACCGCAAATAAATGTTTCGATTTACATTTGATCTTTTTAAAACTTTAACTTGTGAAAAAAAAATTCAGCTTACTGATCCAATTACATATAACGGAATTTAAGACATTTGTCTTTTGAAGTTTATTTATTTTTCACAGAAACATTAGAAATAGACAATTTTCAGTCTTAAGACAGAACAGGTCAAACATTATCATACACATATGTAACACACAACCAATGCTGGCTCAATCGTTTTTTTTTAATCCATCATACCTGTTCGCACCAAATCCACACTGGCAATACCTTTTCAGTTGTTGTTTTTACTATTCACACAATGTTTAACACACTAACAAAATCGATTTTTTTAATTGATAACTTACAAAATTAGCTATAACCACCATCAATATCCTTTCAATCAGTTACCTGTGTCCGCTGATGATAGTCCGCTTAAATTTTCATCGCATAAATAGTCAGTACTCATTTAAGTGTCCATCTGGAAAGAGCTGAAACCCTGTGTCCGCTAAAATTGTTTACGCTAAAATTTCATCATACCTATGAGCAGACAAAACGCTAAATTTTACACCTGCCAAGAAAACCCGCTATACAGTATTGATTATGATCCCCTTTAAACACATTATTAATCCTGAAATCGGTCTTTTATAACATTCACATATAACACAGTTGCTAATTTCTTTCAGGCGTCCTCATGAGTAAAAAACTCTCGAAAGGGACGTTATAGAACAATCAAACAAAACAAAGAAAATCAGTAAGTTACTTATTGTCTCATCTATATCTCACCTGCAATATCTTTTAGACCCATCTATAACTATATAGCACTTGAAAACCGGTATCATTTGTTCGGTCTATTATCATACCAACCTATAACACATTCGCATTCTCGATTCAGTCGATTAAAGTAGGATCCCCATCCGCATGCATGCTCCTGTAGGAAGTGAAAAAAAATCAAACGTAATACATATCTTTGAACACCCTATAAAAGTTCCATTCAAAATGATATTGTCTGAAACAATTAAAAAAATGTAAAAGAAAAGTGCCAGCCTAATGTAAAATCAATTATAATTCGTTAATAATCAGATTCGCTAAGGTCAATAACCAACAATGTATACTGAATGTATATCACATTGCTGTTAACTTGTTTGTTTTTTTTTTTATAATAAACGCCATCTTTCTTTGTTAAAATGTACACTTTATCTCTATCCTTTTGCAGAATTTTAATCGATTCATAATCAATTAAATATTTATTAAGGAGAATATCATTTTTACATTCAAAAATCTGGTACATTAAATTTTTAAGAATTTCTTTTAGCAGTGTTTTTGAATGATATTTCACATCTACACAATAAACATTAATAATTTTAAGAATGCATTCAGAAGATTAATCGAATTGTGTTATAACGATTTATTAAGAATACTGTCTCTTACAGGCTGTTTCAATGTAGAATGAAGTCTATTTGAATGCAAAATTGTGAATAAATATTTCTGCATTTTAAGTTACTATAAATAATCCATTAATTTATGATTGTTGTAACAGTTGCTTATATCATATGTTTCATCATAGACTCAAATTATTTTCCTTAATTATTCTTGAAAGAATACGGGTGTGAATCGTACAAAATATATGTTCAGGGCTTAACAGGAGTTCCATGCCTGTAAGGATTATCAAATAGAACGTAAGTGACATATTTGCACATATTAAAACAAGTACTTTTATGATTTTTTTTAAATGCAGTGAAAAATAATATTCGACAACGAGATTTTTGTCATCAAATTTATCTATGATAAGAAATAAAGTTAAACTCAATTACAAACGATATCATGGAATTTATTTCAAAATTGCAGATATCCGTACATTTCTTTTAAATAAATTGTATCTGAATTATCTTTATAATTTCTGAATAACTTTATAGGGAAGTAACAATAATGTTTTGATAAGCATAACATTCAAACAAACTTACCAATTCATAACGTAAACATGTTTTATTTCCGTTTTGCATCGATGTGGAAATTTTTGAACTAAGTCGTAAAACTGTTCCTGTCTCTAAAGAACATATTTCTACTGCGTTGCAATCCAAGTTCTTGTAACATTCCACAGCGCCGTAACGCAATGACATTTCTGTAATGGTCGGAGATAGCTCGGATATCAACAGAGAAGTGTCCAAATAGGAGACATTTCCTTGATATAAAAAGTTTCCATGTACAATTATGGCTTTTAAATGAGGTATACAAAAGAATACAAATGTATGAAAAAATATAAAGAAATTCATCTTTCTATTATTCCATTAAAACTTCCATTTAAGATTATTAAAGTTTCCTTCGGATATATTTTACTCTCTTTGTCGAAGATGACTTTATATCTCGACACTTTCTGTCCAAATGGTCAAGGGGAACTAATAGAAATGTACCTGTGACCTTTAACGATTCATTACAAAAATTATCATTTAGCTTAGAAATCATGTAGTATTTACAATACTTTTAGAAGTTAAGTACAATTTAATGAAAATCGAACTCAATCTGATAACAATCTAATTGATTTGTTGGTGCATAATGGATTCAATAATAAGTTAAAAAGTCAAAGATAACTCTGCTACAACTTTAAATATTTATCATTAATCTATTTTTTTTAAAATCGCAAATTTTCTGCATTTAATTCTTATAATGTATATGTGCGTTAAACTTTAATTTACAAAAAATGTAAATTTATCATCTATTAATTGTTATTTGGTTTAATGAAAGTGTTTACATAATTATACAAACACATTAATTAAATCGAATACTGCCCTGTGCTGAGATTATAATTTCATTTTCACCTATGTCACTTGTGATCACTGCCGATCAAAACGACCACAAAAAACATGTAACAAGTCTTATTTCCACTGTATTTTTTTCAAGCTTTATTTTTCATATTGAAAAAATATAATAAATTTTTTTCTGATCACTTGCTCCTGATTTTTAGGTATTAAAAAGATTACCTTTATATGCTTATTTTTACACAGGAGCACGTGCAAAAACAGTGTGAAATGCTTAAAATAGATTGTTTTCAGACATTATTGTTCTACCCCAAATATACGCTAAAAAGAACCAAAATGTCAAATCAAATTTAAAATCAATAGGTATTTTATTTATATGACTTGTATCTTTGAAATGAAAGCAAATTCATTGCAATTCATCTAGCATGAAAAGTTATAATAGATCACAATGTAAGTATCACCCCGTTTTTCTTGCCGTATTTTTTACAGTTTCGACATGCATAACAGGTAATATGTTAAAAAGTCTTTGTGTGAAAATGTTGTAATTCATATTTTTTGAAAGAAACGGTTCAATTCTTTATTTTAACAAAGAAAGAAGTATACCTTCATGAGAGGGCTAAAATAGGCTTTGCCTGCTGCCCAATCCCATTCACTTATGTGAATAAAATTTTGTATAAATAAATAAAACAAACGAGAAATATGACGTTCTCTTTTATTTTCGTACTCTTTTGTCATAAATAGTGACCTTTCTGCACTAAAGAAAGGTTAATCATCTGAATATAAAACTTTTGTGCAAAATCGAGTATTTTGTTTTGATTAGAAACAATCTAAACAGATTTATTCTTTTCTTGTTCATCCCAATCATTCTATCCCCCCCCCCCACTCCATTTCTCCTTCAACAAACAACACCTATTAGAACCAATATATTGGCACTTGTTGGCTGTTAAAATGCACTCGCAAGCTCGTGCATTTGAACAGCCAACTTCAATATTCACCAGTATAAGTTCAATAACCCTTTGATATTTAAATACTTACAGATATAATATCAAAAGCAAAGTTAGACTAGAAACACAAATGTTGTTCGTTTACATGTACTTTAAGCGAGTGTTATTTAAATTGATGAATTCTAATCGTTATATCTTTGATCATATTCCATGCATGTTTACCCATTACCTAAATTTAGTCAAGCCAATATTTGAAAACTACCACTGCAGTTCATTGAAATGATAACTGATGGCTTTTAGTATATCATGGCTTTTACTATAACTTTTGTCAATATTTAGGTTGATCAATGCCTTTCAGTTACCATACGTAAAATTTAGCAAAAGTGCACAGAAAGGTAAAGTACATTTATCACAAACATTAAATTTTACATAACGAATTTTATAATGTTTTTATGCTAAAATAGAAGGAGAAGAATTTAGCGCCACAGCGCAAATGTGGTCATTAAGTTGTGTGGGCTTTCTCCTAGTTAATATATAGAAAACTAGTGCTAATTGTAACGGGGACCGTTACAGATGTTCCCCAAACGCTCCCCAACTCCCTTTTATAATCATATTCCCTGTAGGCGTAATCAAATAAGACAAACTTTATGCATTTGAGACTTTAACAACGTTTACCAAGAAGTGTACCATGTTCATTCAAATTTTATTATTGCACACTTGCGCATGTGAATGCATGTGCGTAATGACCATATCATATTGTCTATACTATATCTATAATATAATATTATATTTTAATATGCTGAATATAATCCAAAAGTATAAAAAAAAAAAACAACGGACTTTCAAGTGTATTTTTGATTTTACTCATTTCACGTGCACGCACGTGCATACATGAGCATGGTGACCATACAGTCTTGTAGAGGTCCATTACATCTATCTATGTTCTAAATCGCACCCCGTTTGGTTGAAAACCAAGGGAGTTATACCTGTTTAAAGTTTCAGCCAATCAGATTGCAGCGCATGTACACGCACATATATGCATGTCCATAGTGACCATACCTTCTTGTAGAAGTCCAGTATATATATCTATGTTCCAAATCCCATCCTGTTTGGTTGAAAACCAAGGGAGTTATAGCTGTTTAAAGTTTCAGCCAATCAGATTGCAGCGCACGTACACGCACCTGTATGCATGTGCATGGTGACCATACCTTCTTGTAGAAGTCGATTATATATATCTATGTTCCAATTCTTATCCTGTTTGGTTGAAAACCAAGGGAGTTATAGCAATTTAAAGTTTCAGCCAATCAGATTGCAGCGCACGTGCATGCACGTGTTTTCATGATAATTGCTATATACCGTGTTGTAGGATATTCTTATGCATGGCAATGTTCAAAATTTCAAAGGATTTCGTCAAGAAACAAGAAAGATATAGAGACTTTAGTTTCAGCCAATCAGAGCAAAGCGCACGTGCATGCGCGTGAGATCTTGCTATTTTGACCATGTCATCTTGTCTATAGTACTAATATATCTTTACATTATGAGTTTCAAAGCATTTCATCAAAAAATAGAAAAGTTAAGGCAATATACATTATATTGGTCATTTAACATGATGCACGTGCGCGCTCTTGCAAGCACGTGCGCACAAAATGACCTTGATTCCGCAAATCTACATAACATGTCTACTGACCCTAAAAAGGTTTTACCTACATCGGATGAACAGTTTACAAGATCACTCCCGGACAAAAAAGTACCCAGGAAGAAGAAGAAGAAGAAAAATAATAATAACTAGTTCTAATTGTAACGGGGACCGTTACAGATGTTCCCCAAACGCTCCCCAACTCCCTTTTGGTGTCATACTCCCTGTAATCTCTATTAAATAAGAAATACTTTATGGAATTTAGACTTAATCAAGGTCTTCCCAGAAGAATACAAAATATATTTAAATTTAAGCATTGCACGCGTGTTCATGTGCGTAACGACCATATTATCTTGTCTACACTATCTATATATTTTAATATACTTAATATCAAGGCATTTAATCCAAAAGTATTAAAAATTGCACTCACTCGAGTGTATTTTTAATTTAACTCATTTCACTTGCACGCACGTGCAAGCACGTGCATGCTGACTACACCTTCTTGTAGGAGTCCCTTATATTTATCTATGTTCTAAACCCCATCCTGTTTGGTTAAAAAAACAAGGTAGTTATAGCTATTTGAAGTTTCAACCAATCAGATTGCAGCACACATGCATGCGCGTGATTTCATGAATTTGATCTTTATCTTATTAAAGGATATCTTAATGAATGACTATATTTCAAAATTCCAAACATTTCGTCAAAAAACAAAGGAGATATAGCCATTTAAAGTTTCAGCCAATCAGATTGCAGCCACATCCATGCGCGTGATTTCATGAATTTTTTCTATAACATATTATAGGATATCCTAATGCATGACTATATTTTAAATTTCAAAGCATTTCTTCAAAAAACAAGGGAGATATAGCCATTTAAAGTTTCAGCCAATCAGATTGCAGCACGCGCGCATGCGCATACTTTCATGAGAATAGTTATATATCAGGCTGTAGACCTTTATAATGTAGGACTATGTTCAAAATTTCAAAAGATTATGACAAGAAACAAGAAAAATATTGAGACTTTAGTTTCAGCCAATCAGAGCGAAGCGCACGTGCATGCGCGTGCGATCTTGCTATTTTGACCATGCCATCTTGTCTATACAATAATATATCCTTACATTATGAGTTTCAAAACATTTCATCAAAAAATAGAAAAGTTAACGGCAATTTATATTATATTGGTCATTTCACGTGTTGCACGTGCACGCTCTTGCAAGCACCTGCGCGCAAAATGACCTTCGTTCGGCAAATCTACATAACATGTCTACTGACCCTAAAAACATTTTACCTTAGTCGGATGTGTAGTTTACAAGATCACTCGTGGACAAAATTTTCCCAGGAAGAAGAAAAATAATAATAATAATAAGAAACAGAGTAAAAACAATATGTTCCCCAACTTCGTTTGGGGAACATAATAAGAAACAGAGTAAAAACAATATGTTCCCCAACTTCGTTTGGGGAACATAATAATGCAAACCCTATTCCATATCACATCCTGCATTTCCCCAAGAAACAATATCCGAAGGCAAAGGTGTTATATTTGGCCGAAGGCTGATACCATGTACGTTATGTGATGTGCATATAATCAAAACCCTATTCCATATCACATCCTGTATTTGCCTAAGAAACAATATCCGAAGACAAAGGGGTTATAATTGGTCGAAAGCTGATACAATGTACATGGTGTGATGTGCATAAGGGTTTATTACATACTTAGTAATAAAATACAGTACACATTAAGCTAGAAAGAAAAAGAGTTTTAAAAAAAATCATGCACAGACTTCTTACATGTACACGGTCTATTGTCTCATACGGTTTGGGTTTGTTTCTATATGTTCTTTTAGTTCAAATGTGCCCTATCGGTAATTTGAACAGAATCT